AGATGGAGTTGAGACCTTTACACCTGGTTTCTACAACAAAAAACACAAATAATGTTAAATTAACTCTGTCATAAACTAATCATCTAAGGGTCAAGGCTTATTATATTCAACCTTCTAGAAAGAGTTAACACGGCAAAGTATCTCAGTCTGTACAATATGAGGACATTCTGACACACACACACACACACACACACACTACCATTTATTCAGACCATATGAGGACATGACAAACTAGCACCTATTCAGTCTGTCTTCCAGACATAACATTTTCTTTTACTCCCAAATAAATTTCTGATCCCCACTGAGCTGTGTGACAAAAAACATTAAAACAATAAAAGACCTGAAATATTTCAGTTGGTGTGCAATGAATCTAAAATATATAATAGTTTAATTTTTATCATTACTTTATGGAGAAAAATGAACTTTATCACAATATGCTATTTTTTTGAGAAGGACCTGAACATTAAGTCTACTACAATACAGTTGTAGTTGTACAATGTGAATATAAAGAAAAAACTGTTTTTTAAACTAACATTCAGTTTGAAATGGTCATAGTTAAATCCATGTTGTTCTTTAGTCATGTTAAACCCTCCCCCACCCCCCGAGGGGGAAAAAGAAACAGCCTACCACCTCCGCAGTTACAAAAAATCTTGGGAGGAAACCCTGAAGGGTCAAGGCTCATTATTAAACCTTTTAGAAAGACTGACCATGGCAGTGTACTTGTAATGCACAGAAATATTACTAGTCCTATTATGATTTTTTTTTTATTTGACATTTGGCAGACTGTGAACGTACATTGTTTGAAGATTAACTTACCAGAGCTCGCCATGGCCATGGAGCGTCTCCATAGTTATAGGTTATTTCACTCTCTGCTTGGATGTTTTCGATCGCAAACAAGCAAAGATGAGGTTTACCCTGGACAGTCAGCTTTTTCATTTTGCAGTTTGGGGATTTATGGGCATCATTAACCAACCGGCCAAAAGAGTCATCTTCATGCGAGGCATCAATGCTAAATTTTAAAATGGAGAGATATGTTTTGGTTTTTCACTAAAACCATAATGCTGGAAAGAACAAATTATTTTTAGACTATTACTTACCACCATGTATTATTTTTCCACTCAAAATCAAACAGGAATGCATTTTGCTTTTCAGTGTACTTTTTCTGTCTCTTGTCTCGTTCATATTTTGAGATCAACTCCCCACGGTACTCAGCAATGAAGGATCCCTTTGCTATTGGTGCACAAGCAAATACACCACGCCCTGATAAAAGAATCACCATCATGTAACATATCCAAACCACTATTTTTCAAAACCGATACAAAAAAGGAAAATGGAGCTTTTAAAACTGTGAGAAAATTATAACTTGTCTCTATCCATGCAATATTCAAGCAGTAAACCCAAGGAATTAATTTTAACTTACCTTTATAGTTATTGATCCATTGAACCTTCAGACAAGGCTTGTCACTTCCAGTTAAAACAAACTGAATAGCCTCAGCTTCAGGACTAATTCTGGCTCTTCTTTTTGACATGGTTATTGTTATTTGGCTATTCTCATGATCCTGAAGGTCCTTAACCTGTAAACATCTGTAGGTGAAATGACAAGTCAGCAGTGAAAATACAAAAAAAAACATCAATGCTTGCTTTCACTAAAATAGAATTTTTAAAATGGTCAATTATTGCCATAACTTACAATTTATCTGATAACCTTATCTGATAATTTGGCCAACAAATTGACCAGCCTCTATGTAAGTGTGAATAATTAATTTATATTTCATAATCTTGAACAACCAAAGTAGCAGCAAAGCATCTTCAAAAATAAATAATGCCATTCCATCATTTGCCTCATTTGCTATTATATTAACATGAAAAATACAACTTCAAAACTCTTAAAACATATTAGTTGTGAATTACTGCACTCCATGCAGTCTTTTGCAGTACGAATATTGCACACACTGATATTGTGATTACAATATATTCACAATATTTTGTGCAATCCTATTAGACTCAAGCCATTTTGTTGTGGGGTTTGCCCACAACACAATTTGTCTAAGAAAAGATCAAATAGCATTTTGTGTATGCTTTGCAAGTGTAGTTAATTTATGACATATTTCTGCTCAGAGTATGTACATATCTCTCAGGTGTCTAATATTATTTATACTCCCCCCAATAATAAACTCATTCTTACACCCTTGGCTGCTGGCTACTCACAGAAACACCACAAGCAGGAGGATGCATTGGCACACACACACACACACACACCTTTTCCCTACACCATCCA